GATTTGAAATAGAGGGTGACGGTCAAATGAAGTGTACATTTTCGGACTTTTTCGAAATTTTGTTATTCTGAAGTTTGTTGAGTAATGAAATGAAATGCACCTAAAATGTACACTTTATTGTGATCATGGAAGATAAGAAGTGAGAAATACAACATTAAAAAGATAGAAAACCACTTTACAACCCCTTTAAGTCTATTAAGAAGGCACATATCAGACTGTTTAAACCCCGCTGTGTTCTGTAAATGAAGGGGTGAATGACCGAAATTTGCAACAACAAAAAAAATTATTGATTTATAACACCACAGTGTGAATATATAAATGTATACAATAAAAAATCTTGCATTTTTAGGAAGTTTAAAAGCTGCCTCTGTGCTATGGGCTATGTTTGTGAAAGATCCTTCGACAGTTTAAAATTGAAAAAGAGTAGTCGAACAACTTTTCCTTGTTGCATTTTCTGAATTAGATTATTCAGATGCAGATATTTCATTCATTTTTTCGTTCATAGCTGACTGGGCTGGTTTTCCGCCTTGAAAGTGGAAAAGAGGCTTTAATGGTTGTCTTCACAGCTTCCTTATAACTGAAGTAATTTTCTTTTGATCTGTATATCTTTTGGAATAAGGCTTGGAATCCAAATTAACATATCCTGCCCATAGATCAGAGGTCAGATTTTAATCCTGGTCAAACCTGGATATTGTTGCAGCAGTGGCGTACGGTAGGCTGCGTTGAGGGTGGACCCCCGCTCCAAGCACCGCAACAATCTTACATATTCAAAAATATAAAGTTAGTCATAGTATAGAAAATAAAATTTTATTTCAAAATAAACTATTTGTTCTAATAAAAAATACACTAACAATAATGAAACATGGCCCGAAACATCACCAATAAAGATATCATAACTTATAATCTCATATCATAAGTAAAATCCCAGATATATGATTGGTCAATATGCTTATAAACTGGAGATTTGTCCAATCAAATTTCGAGAAAGCATTAAGCTACGATGATCTTAAATCGTGATATTTCTAACACCAAGTCATAATATTTCAAATCTAAATCTTTCCATCTAATTTAATAAACATTTTGACACAATCTGGAAATACTTAGCAGTTCATATATTTAGTTCATGATCCACAAGAATCATTTTCAGTAAAATCAAAATTAGTCAACTTTCGATAGTAGATTCGAAACGTTGCAAAATTTCGTTTCGGTTATTCCAGCATTACATTTAATTCTACGTTTACTCATATCACTACAATGAGTGAAGTTATCCACAAAAACAATTAAAACAGAATGTCTCTGCAGACTAGGTTACCATTTTCAGTTGCCCACAAAAGTTACCATGATCAAGAAATGTCGTGTTTTTCAGCTACATAATGAATTACAAGCCATTTGATGTCTCCACTGTTCGAGTTTTACAGTTGCCCACAAATTGCACCACCATTCTTCATCAAGCGAAGCAATTCACAGAAATGATTGAATCAGAATGTGTTGGGCAGATTGGGTAACCATTTACAGTTGTCAACAAATGTTACCATCATCAAGAAAAGTCGTGTTTTTCAAGAACAAAAAAACACTTCTAGTTATTTACAAGCCATTTGATGTCTTTACATTTTCTAGTATTGCATTTGCCCTCAAATTAGATCACCATTCGGAAAGTCATTAACAATATCGTGGTTGACTTTGATTTGCATTTGTATTGCTGAAGTTGTCCAATCACTGCATAGCAGGCAAATATCCATTTAGCAGTTTTTGAAAAAAAAGTGTTGCACAATCCATTAGAGAATATTATATACTGGTTATACAATGTTGCCCTATATCTCAGGAATATCATCATCTGGAAGAGAAAAAGAAAAAGTTTTAAAATTATGAATTTAAGACATTAATTGATGAATATTATTCTGATATTTTGTGGCCAAAAACTTAGTCGAAGCCAAGTACATAAATATAATCAGTCGGAAGGGTCAGGTCAAAAGATATAACAAATTCAAGTGTCCCAGCCTTTGTACGTGTAACGACCAACTGGGCTAGGATATCAGAGTAGTGCAGATAGAAGCTATAAATGTCCACGATACACATACAAAGACAAGAAAACTCTTATGAATCTCTGTAGTGACAAATAAAAGACCAAAGTACTAACGATCCGAACCGCAAAACGAAACCTACAATCCAAACGTAAGCTGTAAAACTAAAGAATTTTTTGTTAGTCCAGGCTGATAGACCTAGACCTTGCTGATGAAATGAAAAGATGGCGACGACATTATAGTTTGAATGAGGGTTTGAAAGAAGGATAGTGTTTGTTGATAGTAGCCATAGTTTGAATGGGAGTTTGAAAGAAGGATAGTGTTTGTTGATAGTAGCCATAGTTTGAATGAGGGTTTGAAAGAAGGATAGTGTTTGTTGATAGTAGCCATAGTTTGAATGAGGGTTTGAAAGAAGGATAGTGTTTGTTGATAGTAGCCATAGTTTGAATGGGAGTTTGAAAGAAGGATAGTGTTTGTTGATAGTAGCTATAGTTTGAATGGGGTTTGAAAGAAGGATAGTGTTTGTTGATAGTAGCCATAGTTTGAATGAAAGGCTGTATCTTTAAGATGGTAAAGTGAATGTAAGTCAGTGGGCCATATGAAAAGTAAACCACGAGATAATAAAATGGATAGAGAGACACATACTGTAATAAATGTCTACAATTAAAATTTGACAAATATCATAAGTGACAATTCTTAAAGGCATTAGCGTTGTTAGTAAAAGTCGGATAGGATTAGTTTTTATACGTTGATGCCACAGCAACTACTTTCTTGATTAGGTCCATTATTGCCCCAAACCCCATCTATCTAAACGCATGTTAAAGAAATGAACAAGCACGTGAGTAGTGAAAAAACTTTAGTCATGAATTTCAAAAACCCAAACACCAAAATAAAAAGTTTAAAATGTAATTTTTAGACAGAATTCAATGTAGCTAGTTTCTGTTATTTGAATGAAATGAGATTATACGGAGTTTACAATTCTGAACCTTTGTAAAATGAAGAAAAAAACTGTGCAAAGAGTAAAAATTCTTCCATAAAAGTGGTGTTATTCTTTAGCTACGAGCAAGCTTTAATACCCATGGGCTTTCTTCTTGAATAATTAACTACAATAATTAATCACAAATATCGATTTGAAATTTTGTTTTGTTATCCAATCAGATAACTGTAATTCTTAAAATCTGGATTTTTCTTAGGTAAAGTTTTGGAGAATTAGGTCCCAGTTTTAGTATAGCAGCTTCGGTTAATCATCCTTCCAAAACGAGTTTGTTTCATAAAATTATTTAAGGCAACTATTAACATTTATCATTGGCTTTACAAGTAAAAACCATAATCATGTTATCAGTCTAATGGACGAGAAGGTTGTGGTATAATTTGTCCCACTTAGTGTTAAAACTTAAAATTTTATGGAAACTCGGATAAAATCTGATAAACTTTTAATCCGTTTTCAATTATCGTAAGAGGTTAGTAATAATTGAACATAATTTTCATATCAACTTCTGTTTAAAACCTTAGATTATAACAAGTAATGGCTAATGGGTAGTGGGAATGGGGCACAGGGTTCAGATAAGATAAAAGCTAATTATTATTGATCGTATTAGCGAGGATAAATATGTAAGGCAGTGAAAAGGATAATCCTGGAATGTGAGCGAATTTAGGTGCAAAAAAACGGGTGGTGTATGGTTCGGGGAATATCGATACAGTAGACAATAGAAGAACCAAATACAGATATAGATCCGGACACGATTCTTCTGTTCCTCTGTTCACAGCTTATTGATTGAGGTGACCAGCTGAGGATGTGAGGCTTACTTATGCGCAGAGCTGCTCATCGTTGCTAGAAAGTGTCATCCTTTTTTCATAACTTAGTCAGAAATTTGAATAACATGTGTACTGAAGCGGAACATCTATATTTGAAATACTATCTGATTGTTTTATTCATAACCCCGATCTCTAGAAAGTTTAGGCAGAAACGGGTTAAAGCTGATCCTTAAGGCTGATTGTGGGTCTCGTGTTGATGAAGACAGAAGACAAGCAGGTACTTCATAGCTTCATTAAGTGGTGTATTGGGTATAATTCTATACATACCTGGATATTTTAAAAGTTAGATCTTTCGACTAGAAGGTACACAGTTTTTTTTTTCAGTTTTCACAGTTTCATCTCCTTAATATATTATAATTGGGTATCATTCCCCTCAGAATCACCACACGTCTCCATCTCTCATATATCATTGTTGAGGTGGCGATCATCCTATTGCATCTCTTAGTAATATGACTGCCAGCCTTGATAATACTGTACTGTTTTCCTGTTGGTAAGAAGAAGTCATGCCCTGTGTAAGACCACAAAAACTATAGCCAAGATCTAAGCCCAATATTGTCATATAAACGTAACTGTTAAAATATGTATTTCAAGGGCACAGCGTGATTTGTGCTGCATATACCACTATGTCCAAGATATTGCACTTTTGGAAAGTCTTTAGATTCAAATCTGGTCTCACGGAAGAAGCTCATCCAGGTTCAGATTCATCAAATCATCCGTGCAACCGTCCGAGAGGAAAAAGTCCGATACTGGACTAAATGCGGATTCATCTCCTGACGAACTGCTATAATTAGATGCACCACTTGAGTGTCCACTTTGAATGGGTTGGTGACCCAGAGAGTACGCCTCATCTCCAGACGATCCACTGTAATTTGGAGAAACGCTTGAAGTTCCTCGGTGTACGTTCGGATCTAATAAGGAAAATGCTTCATTATAAGACAGTCCATTGCAAACTGGAGAAACGCTGAAAAGATCCACATCCTTGGGTTGCTGAAGGACACAGTTCGTGGCATCTTTAGTCGAACTGTTACAGCTGGTAGCCTGAAGTGATGATCCATCCTGAAGGGGCTGTGGAGTGACAGAACCAGCTTCGTCTCCAGAACTGCTGTAGATCGACCCACCACTAGAATCCACGCTGCTGATGGGTTGAGCACCATCTGGATATCCTAATACATCCTGTAATGATTTGATGTAGTTCATTGCCAGGCGTAATAAAGTCAGTTTCGTGATTTTGGAGCTGTTTCCCATTTCGGGTAGTGCCGCTTGAAGCTGTTCATAGCCTAGGTTCATGTCACTCATCCGACCGCGTTCTCGAGCGTTTGCTGACTTTCTCCTGTATTTGCTCAACGGTGGCGGCTTCACTTTCGGTTTGGGTTCTTTTGGCTGTTTGATTTTCTCTTCCACTTCAATTCGTTTGATCAGGGAACTGCGTCTAAGATTGTACTTTTCAACCTTGCTTCGTTTCGAGACTGAATGTTCTGCAATGTCTGAATTGCTGGAACCCGATGTGCTGCTATATCCAGGAAGATCGCGTTTAACACTTGCTGCCGGTTCTTTACTGCGTTGATCAGGTGGAACGGATTCCATTTTGATAAATCGTAAGTAGAGTTAAATTGTTATTTAAGGTAACACACCTGTGTAAGGTAAAAATAACAGTACAAATATCTTTCGTCGCGTGTCCAAATTCTAACTACAGATTTACTTGTAGTAAATTTATACACTACTTAGATGTCACACTCGAATTAATTCGCTTGAATATCATCTTTTAACCAATGAAAATCGTTTGGCAAGCCACGCCCCATATTTGAATTAAAGCCCCGAGGGTTATCAGCCCACTATCGACTATGTTTATGTTTTCTATTTGATAGATCCTACGCTCGTCTACCTATATTTTAATGAATTGTAAGAACTAACAGGTTTTCACTGACCTTCAGATTCTTCACATTTTTCTTCTCTTGTGAATTTAAAGGGATGGTGTTGGTGAAGCGGTTAGTCTAGTTTCGATAGTGGGGTAGACTACGTCAAAAGTGTGTTAGATGCCAAATATGGTAAGAATGAATAGGTATATAGTTTTTATGCAGGAACGAATATGGTGACCTTTATGTCATCTATCGGTCTTGATATACCATTAAGAAACACTTAAATCACACTTCATGCCAATAGGTCAAATGTTCACAAAACTCGATTCAAAGCATCAAGTCGTATCATGGATGACAAGTTTTAGTAACCTCCTTCAAAACAACGAAACAACACTCTCATATTTGTATTTTAATTAGATTTTCAAAATGAATTGAAATGAAATGAATGGAGTTTTACGTCCTACTTTTCTGCACCATGTGGGCTAACGCGATGTAGGGTGCAACGAGGGAAATTTTGCCAGGAGATTAGATTGTCAAAGAACACAATAATGCAGGTAAAATTATATTTAATGAAAATCGGAAGTAGACATGGTTAAGAATCCGAAGTATCAGATGGAGAAGAAAACATTTGTGATGCCTAAAGGATTGATACATAATCTCTTAGTAGCATTGTGTCCAAACTTCATACTTCCTCGAAACCATGTCATAACCTGTATTTGTGATACGATGTCTTTGTAGTGAAGCAACCTCCATAGAAGTTAATGTAAGACCAATTTAATTCAAAACCAAGAATTAAGAAATCCAAAGCCTGTCTCTTTCGCCCCTTATGTAGCAAAAAACTCGTCTTGACTATAATTCTTACAACTCAATAGGTCATTAAACTATGTTCTGTTATTACTAATTAGTTGATGGTTGACATAAATGGGTGAATTGTGATAAAACTGTTCATTCATAATCCAAGCTGAATGTCACCACTCCTTGGACCACAAACCATCATTTTTAAATATCCTAAATTCATTGCGGTCAAACGCCTACATTATTTCATGAATGGAATTTTTGAAATCTGAAGTTTATGAATGGAAAGTCTTAAAAGGATTGAAATTATCAGGATAAGCTATTTTTTTACGAGTTCGCATTCATGGAAATCTTTTTATGAATTGATCATCTCGGTCAATGTACGCAACATTCAGAGCAACTTTGACCAAAACAAATCTATACATACAAATTTGAATGGGAATGCATCCAACAACAAAAAAAAAGTACACGAGGGTCCAGCGTGTTAAGTAAAACTAAACGCCCCAGAAACTTGTTTTTTTTTAAATAAAAATTTCTATGAAGCTCAGATGTTTATCCAATTCATCCCAGTATATTGGGGGTAATCAATACTTATATCAATACAAATCCTGAAGGCTTCTCCGGTGCCCTGGTCCAATACATCTAACCCCGAGGTCTGGCTCCTCCCAGTTCCTGGGACGTATATATATTCTACCATGTCCCTATGCCTCACACGGCACCACATTATAATTAATGGTGTGAATTTCGCTCCTGAAATTCCCAAGCGGTACTAGTGTCCTAGCTTGAGAACTAAGTTGTATAGATGTTCGTATTTGGAAATTAATTTGTGGTAATGGGTGCAGTTGTATATTTGAAAAGGACACTCAAATTAACCCTCCAAAAATGGCGCAACTATCCCTTTAAGAAGTATAGGAGGCATCCAAATAAGAGAATTACGCATTACCACAATTACTAACTTATATAGTATATAATTGGCTAACATCCAACATCGCGACAAGCCTGTACAGTAATCGGAAGGTAAAAAATTGAAAGTAGAAGAATACATTACCAAGAAAGGTGCGAGGTATATCAAAAAGAATAAACTATAAAATCTGACCCATTGAACTCGAAACTTACACAATTATGCAGAATATGTAGATCTTATATATCATCTTCACAATGTCAAACGATTACGACCTCCGTCTTATACCTACTATAGCTATCATATATATATTTGATTGGACTGTACGACAGCGAATATAGTCAATCAGAGCTCTCGATAGAAGGACTAATAGCTTACAGACTTTCTGTGGAAGACTGGCTGCATTTGCTTGCGTACAATCCAACCAGTCAAGATATAGGATGGAGTTCGTAAAAGCTTGACATTGTTAAAACGAAGTTCGTAATAACCTGACATTGTGTTGACGAAGTTCGTATAATCTTGACATTGTGAAGACGAAGTTCGTATTAGCTTGACATTGTGAAGACGAAGTTCGTAATAGCTTGACATTGTGAAGATGAAGATTTTAATGGCTTGACATTGTGAAGACGAAGTTCGTAATAGCTTGACATTGTGAAGGTGATATACATAATTGTTTTTAATATTATAACGATTATATAATATATTTTTAATTTTCAATGATAATGCATGTAGATAAACCCTTTTAAAGGTGGGTCCTCGCGGTTTATTTTTTAATATATTCGTGTATTCAAATGTTTTCTATTGTTGGGTGCCATAATATGCAAACTATGTACGTTTTATATCCTTTTTAATTCTGATGATAACTTTTCTGATTAGCCCTTTTAAAGATGGGTACTCACGTTTATATTTATTCATATATGTTCATAGTTGGCATCGTCACTTTCAGCGACGGAGATGAACAATTGTGTCTTTTTAGAAGGATAAACGATTAGGAAGCTATCTAATCTTCAAGAGCCTTTTTTCCAAATCTGCCCCTCCGACCTGCATCACTTATAAGGGGAAACCGAGTTGAAAAATTCGAATATATTATATCGACCAATTCCCAGGTTGAATCGTGGACCATCAAGTTAGCGAGCAAGCGTCTAACTCATTGTACAAATCAGTGGATTAAGGAGACCCCAAATTTAATTGAATACGAAATTAAATCTTCAATATTCTTTAATGCATAGTTAATTAAGATTTTAATTGATTAGCGTATCATATAGCGATCAGTAATCTTAATAATATTGATAAAGGGCGTGTAATAATTCAATCATAATTCAAAGGGATATAGACGTCTAGAGATTGGCTCCTCGAGTTTAAATAGTTCTATTGTTAGTAGCTCAACTACCATAGGGATTGGTTGAACCAAGTTCACGGACATTGTCTTGCCTCGGGACGGATTCAAATCCACGACACCTCACTCTCTACCGACTGAATTATTCGACTGCCACCAAGTTCTTATTGCAAAATTTGCAATAACAATGTCAAGATCAAGATCAGTCTGGATTTTAAGTATTATATTTATGCACGAAACGTCATATTTCAATCTGAAAAGTACTTCGGACAGATGAAATATGCTATATGTTGGGAAAGCAAATATTTACACTACCACATCCCTTGAAGATTATTACATCACATTATAGAGTATATTGTCTTTGCTATTTACTCTGAATAATAATCGGGTTATCTTCTTTAATATTTATTTACCTTACACTTGTGTTTGAAATTAGCCAGACATCTACCAATCAACTTGGTCTGTATGAACTGTATGTATGATCCACCACAACGACTAGGATTTGGCTAATACACTATTCTGCTAGAATATTGCGTTTTGCAATAAGAAGGCTCAAATGTTTGGGACGGTGCTTAATCATATTGACAACAAGTGATACCATATGCCTATAAGATAAGTGGGTGTGGCCATAGAAATACCATTTCGCATCGGTAGTTACTTCTGAGTGAAATCCAAGATACGTCGCCTCTCAAAAACTGTCTCTGGTGTACAAAAGGGGAAGGATATATTACAAGGATATGTGCCTAACAAAACTATCCCTGACCCTTCCTGACCTTAAAATATTTTGGGGAAATTACGGGCCTATCAAGATACAAATATCTTGTTATTTCAGTAAAGCCACGTGTGTTTAGCGGCACCTTTGATCTTAATGAGACTTAACGGATTATATTTGTTCGTGGATTGTTTGTTTCAATCTTTTTCCATCCTAACCTCTCACCCCACCGCCTTACAGACCTCACCCCTTCTTCAATCATACAGTACAATCTGAAATCGTGGCTGTTTTATGAATAGAATTTATCTCAAAGGGGTCAAAAATCATCCAAACTCTCACAGACTAGAACAAAATGTGTCTTGATACAATTTGAAGGCTTCCAAAAGATGCTTGTTCTTCATTCTTTCAGGGGTAGAGCTAGGTTAACATCTAAGGAGGGGTGGCGGGGTGGGGGGGGGGGGGCGAAATATCTGAGGTTGCCCGAATTTCTAACCTAGTAATGAGAGTCATGCCCGAAAAACTTGCGAGGGGGCATTATCTCAAAGGGCCTTATATTATATTAGCAGCTTTTGCGATAGCGTCTGACTGAATATTGCAATGGTGTAAAATGCTTTCAATGCCCTCTTTACACACTTAAAACGTTTAGAAACCTCTTTGCATTCCCTTCAATCCATTTGTTTCGACGATATAAAAGAGAAGTATGAAATAAGTTTGACCATGCAAAGTGAAATATTCGAAGTATTTTGTCAC